TCTATCTATCTATCTATCTATCTATCTATCTATCTATCTATCTATCTATCTATCTTGCCACATTTGTAAAGATGTCAGAGGACAATTTTCAGGAGTTGTTTTCTCCTTCCACCATGTAATAAATTCTGGTATCACACTCAGGTGGTCAGTTTAGTGGCAAACACCCTTTCCTGCTACATCTTTTTGTAGGCCCTGGCCTTGGAACTCTTGATCCTCTTGCATCTTCCCTTGAATGTTAGGATTATGGGCATGTACCACTCTGCCCAGCTAAGACAGCTTTCTTTTAGAAGCCGATTCTTACCTCTGGCATAAGCTATGTGCTTTTACTGTATGCACTCAGGGTGACACTTATTATTGCGACACTTATTAGGGGATTGCCATAGTCCCTACGTTGTATACTCCTTTAAAAAAAAAAAAGATTTATCTATTTTATTATGTAGACAATGTTCTGCGCCTGCATCTTCACCTGAACGCTAGAAGAGGGCACCAGATTTCATTATAGATGGTTGTGAACCACCACGTGGTTGCTGGGAATTAAATTCAGGACTTTTGGAAGAACAAGCAGTGCACTTAACGGCTGAGCCATCTCTCCAGCCCCGGGATACTCTTTTCTATAATCTGTTGTTAGACAGGCTCTCATTAAGTAGGCCTGGCTGGCCTTGAACTCATAGAGATCAATTTGCCTGTTTCCCTGAGTGCTGGGATTACTGGTGGACTCTGAACAGACATGGGATGAGTGAATAAGTAGGTTTATAATAAATGTTGCCTGTGGCAATAAATGAGAAAACAAAGCCCATAAGAGCTCAAATGACAGGGTCAAACTCATATCACCACCCAGAACAAGCAAGAGTAAGAGTGCCCAGGGGACTACCAGTATGCCTGGCATCTGCTGAATACTGGCAAAATGCTGGCAGTTTAGATAAATTAACTCACTTGCCAAGACTGTGTCTATCCTATTTCTTCACATGAGGAAGCTGAAGTACGAAAAAAAAAAAAAAATGTAAACTGCTCCGAGGGCAGAATGTACAGGTCTGGATGGATTCCAGAGCCCCAGTTCTGTCTGATACTTCTAGGAATATGTTCCCTTCAATAACCCAGCCTTACATAAACTACTGCTTTGTACCAGTAATCTGCAGATAGAGATAAAAACTGCAGAGAACTACTTTACAGGACTAAGAAATTAGGGGACTAACTCAAGGAATGGTCCCCAAAGGCTCGTAATTTGAAAGGATTAGGAAGCACAGCTTAGTTGGAAATGTGTGAGCCCACACTCAGGGGTGGGCTTTGAGGTTTCAAAAAGACACCAGGCCCAGTCTCTCTCTTCCTGCTGCCTTCCAATACAGACACAGAACTCTCAGCTGCCTCTCCAGCAACATGTCTGCCTGCACAACCCCATGCTTCCCACCATGATGGTAACTGAGTGAACTTCTGAAACCATGAGCCAGCTCCAATTAAATGCTTTCCTTTCTCAGAGTCACCGTGTCGTGGTTTATCTTCACAGCAACAGAATACTGAGCCGGGGTCAAGCTCTGCCATTCTGCTCTCCACAGGGAGCCATGTCTTGTAATGAAGAGCTAATATTGCTACATGCAACTGAAAGTCTCACACACGAGAAATGGGAATATAGTCAATGTGGTTCATAAGCCAGAAATTCCACTCCTCTGCATTTCCCTAAAAGATATCAGCATGTACACCACCGTGTCTGCAACTAGCAGTACTCTTGTGTATCCATACACCCAAACATGACGAGGGGGGTGTGTGTAGTGCTGGGAGTGAAGCCAGCTCTTACGCATGCTCAGTAAGTCCTTTACCTCTGAGCTACATCCCCAACCCTATCTACAACAATTATTTGAGACAGGCAAAAGTTAGAAACTACGCAAACATCTGTCAAAATGAATCTGGCTCAGTGTTTTAAGAGCACTTGTGCTCTTACAGAGCACTCAGGCTGAGTGGCTTACAATTGCCAGGGGATCTGAGCGCCTCTTCTGGCTTCTGTGTGTACCTGCATGTACATGCACACACCCAGGCGTGCTCGCACACGTAAAGTAAAAATAAATAAACAAGAATGAATGCTTAGTTGTGGCATGTAAATATGGGACACAGGCTTTGGTAAGGAGAAGAAAACCTGGAAGAAAGTATACATGGACAACTTTCTAAAACCTGACACTGACTAAACTAAGGCAAGTAGAAAAGACTATACAGCTGTACACTACATATGCAAGCTATACAGGGCTGGAGGCTAAGCTGTGGGGTTAGGAATCAGCACAGTGGCTACCCAAAGTGGGAGGGGGGTGGCTAACCCAGAAGAGGGGGGAGAGAGACTGACAACCCATGAGAAAGTCCTCAGGCATGCTAGGAATCTACCCAAGTGAGGTAAAGAGACTCAACTCTTGAGGGCTGGAGAGATGGCTCAGTAGTTAAGAGCACTGAAGCTCTTCCTGAGGACCTGAGTTCAATCTCCAGCAACTGCATGGCAGCTCACAATTGTCTGTAACTCCAAGACCTGACACCCTCACACAGAAATACATACAAGCAAATTCCAATGTCATAAAATAAGAATAAATTATTTTAACAAAAAGATACTCAGCTCTCTACTTTGTGAAAATTCAGTACTTTGTATACTCTTATATGCATGTTCTCTTTTTTCCTTTCTTCTTCTTTTTCTGTGTAGCCTTGGCTGTCCTGGAGTCACTTTGTAGACCAGGCTGGCCTTGAACTCAGAGATCTACCTGCCTCTGCCACCCGAGTGCTGGGATCACAGGCGTCCACATGGATTGAATGCTATTTCTAAATAAAGAGTTAACAGGAAACCCACGCACACCTCCAGAATAGCCACCACGGCTTGGGGAAAGAGTCAGCAGTCTCTGAAGATCTTGAGTGCTGCGGAGACTGACCTGCCAGCAGAGGACACAGTAGCTGATTCCTGGAAGAAATCTGAAGTCCACGAAGACATATGGCCTCCAACTTGTGCAGCTTCTACTAGTTTTACGTTTAGACATATTTTTACTCTAACTTGTATTAGTAGGTAGCATCCTTCACTGAGTTTTGAATATGATTCTGAATTCCTTTAGTTGGAACTGGGCCATAGAGCATATACTCATTTGTTAGAAATTCTAGTTTATGTGTTGTTAACAACTTCAGAGGAAAACATTACATGATTTGATACATCATTACTGTTTTAAAACTAGATCATGATTTTCAGAGTGCTTTTTCTTCTTTTCTTTTTTATGTGGATGAGTGTGGTTGTTAGCTGGGTGCGGTGGTATTACTTTGATTCCAGCACTTCAGAGGCTGGGGCAGGTGGATCTCTGAGTTCAAGGCAAGCCAGGTCTACAAAGCAGTTCCAGGACAGCCAGGACTGTTACACAGAGAAACCCTGTCTCAAAAAACAAAACCATGGATAGTTGCACATGTCTACCTCTGTGAGTGTGAGTGTGTGTGTGTGTGTGTGTGTGTGTGTGTGTGTGTGTGTGTGTGTGTGTGTAAGACCAAGGCTGTTGCTAGGAATCCTCTTCCATTGCTTTTCCATCTTATCCTTTGAGGCCAGAGTCTCTTAAGAGCTCTCAAAGCTAGAGCGCTAGCTAATTTATGGGGATCCCGTCTCTGTCTTCTCCGGCTAGAATTACAGAAAAGCCCACCACACCTACCTGGCATTTATACAGGTTATAAGGATATGAACTCCTGTCGTCTTGCTTGTGTGGCCAACACTTCAACAGTTCACTCATACACATACACGCCCACACATACTCCTCAGTCTCATCCATATGAGACAAAGCAGAAAGAGTAAGGAGTTATAATACAGGATGAAAAAGCAGAACAAGAGCCAGACATCTTTAAAGCGTTCTTACCTGTGCAGTTTGCCACCATAAAATGGCTTAGTATGAAAAGTGATGCTGGCCGAGTATCCGGTCTTTGCACAGTTGACGCTGACTTTGCCACCTAGTTCTACCCAAGGAACAGTCAGAATGGACCGGGCATATGCACAAGGCAGGGAAAACGTGTACTCTTCTCCATGCTCCAACAGACTAAGGATACCTGGATGTAAAAGCATGAGCGTGGTTAACATCTCTTCAAGGACACAGTTTTTAAAACTAGTTTTTCCTGTCTAGTAGTAAACACTATCATTTTAGAATCATTAATCTTTTGATGTATTGCCTCACTTGGCAGAATTTCCTGGTAATACTGGATCAGGGTTCCTTTCACTGTGACCCCTCTGGTCCTCTGGGTTCATGGGGCCTGTAATTCTTACAGTGCAAGCTGGCTAAGTTTCCCACCAATGCTCCTACAAGTTAAATAAAGCACTGGGGCTGAGGTGGGAGCCCTGCCGTGTAGCACCATGCTCAGACCCGGTCACCAGCAGCTCAGAGTCCCTCAGACAGTATGATGAGAAGGTATTCTTCGTTCTAGTCTACCTATGTGAAAGAAGAACACATGTAATCTTTTTATCAATAACTTTGATCATCCTAAGTCTTGGTTGCCAAATTCTGAAACTACAAGAGGTGTTGAGAGGGCTAGATGGTGATTTTTCAAACAAATATCATTCCATTGGGGGTTTCTACAGTAACTGATGTTATATAGTATTTATTATAGTTCATTGATTTCTATGAGTGTCTCTCTGTGTGTATGAATGTGAAGGCCAGAAGACAACCCTGGGTGTTGTTCCTCAGATAACATTCACCTCTAAGTTTGGAGACAGGGTCTCTTACTAGCCTAGAACTCACCATGAAAGCGAGAGTGGCTGGCTGACCACCGAGCCTCGGGATCCAGTTGTTACCTCTCCAGAAAAGGGATTATAAACCAGGTGCCTTGTTCTTACGCGTTCCGATAACTACTGAAAATTTTAGAAGAAGCGAAGACTAGCAGAGCTGGGTGTGCTGGTGCTTCTCACCCTGCTACGCGGGAGGCAGGCGCAGGTGCAGCTCTGTGAGTGTGAGGGCCGCACAGTCTACACAGTCAGGGGCAGGCCTGCCACAGCTACACAGAGACACCGTTTCCACCATGGTTGAATAAATACAGGGAAAGTAAGACTTAGGCTTGTTTGTTTGTTTTGAGACAAGGTTTCTCTTTGTAGCCCTGGCTGTCCTGGAAATCGCTTTGCAGACCAGGCTGGCCTTAAACTCAAAAATCGCCTGCCTCTGCCTCCTGAGTACTGGGATTAAAGGAATGCACCACCACACCTGTCAGTTAGTAATTGAACTAATTTCCCTCTATGTTGAAAACATAAAGGCAAAATGATCAAAAATCCTATTCTGATTGTGTGTATATGTGTATACAGTGTGCACATATTTGTGTGTTTGTGGGCACTCACATATGTATCTGGAAACCAGAGGAAAAACATCCAGCATTATCCTGTAACAAGGCTAACCTTGAATTAGAGATCTGCTTGCCTCTGCCTCTTGAGTGTTGGAGTTAAGCAGTGTCTACCAGCCTTATTTTTTAAGGCCATCTCTTTCTCCCTCTTCCCCCAACAGAGTTTCTCTGTGTAGCCTTGGCTGTCCTGGACTCACTTTGTAAATCAGGCTGGCCTTGAACTCACAGAGATCTTCCTGCCTCTGCCACTCCCAATCACAGGCATGTGCCACCATGCCTGGCTGAGGCCAACCCATTGGCCATGCCTGGCCAATGGGCAGTGGGCACCTGATCTGAGGTGCTCATGTCTGCAAGGCAAGCACTTGACAGAGCATCTCAGCATTTCCCTATTCCTTCATTTTATTTACTTGTTGCTAGGGGTAACAAAAAGCAGTGTCATTTCCAAAAGGCAATACATGACTACACGAAAGCACTTAGATAGTAAAGAAGTCACTATATCTCCCCTCATGATTCAAAGATGTTGAAAACGGCAATGCTCCTCCTTACGTATTTGAGAAGCAGAGGCTAGAGCAGCAGACTATTGTGTTATAAACTAGTAACAACAGTTGTCCTTTGGGAATACGTGAGAAAGAATGAGGCTCTAAATATGCCCAACTTCATAAGACCATGTCCTATTACCTCTAAATTTCAGCTAATCCTTATCTTAAAAATTAAAACTGAGGGGTGGAGAGACAGCTCAGTGGTTAAGAGAACTGACTGTTCTGCCAGAGAACCTGGGTTCAATTCCCAGCACACACAGCACTCATAGCAAAACACCAATGCACATAAAATAAAGATAAATAATTTAAAAAATTAAACATGACTATATAGGCACAGAAAAGCTAGTTCAAATTATCTACCTCTGAGTTAATGGGCTAGTGATGATTTTATTTCCTCTGAATTTGTTTGTTAGAAACAGGGTCCCACTCTGTACCTCTGGCTTTCCTGGAACTTGCTATGGACAGCAGGACAGCCTAAAACTCAGAGGTCTGTCTGCCTCTGCCTCTGCCTCTGCCTCTGGAGTGCTAGGATTAAAGGTATACTCTACCATGACCCAAAGTCAAAGTATTTTTATTTTCTTCAGGGAAAATACTTTACAGGTGTGGTGGTACGCACCTTTAATTTTGGTGAGTTTGAAGCCAGGCTGATCTACAGAATTCCAGACCAGCTAGAGCTACAGAGCAAGTTATTTGTCTAGAAACGAACAACCCCAAAATCTTTATATTTAAAATGTTAAAATATAATTTAAAGGGGAATTTTCATTTGTCCATAGTAATAGCGTATGATTACGGTGTGTCCCAACATACAGTGTGGAGCACAATACAAACTAAAACCAAAAAAGTAGCATATATAATGTTTACAGTCTCTAACTAGGCTGGAGAGGTAACTCAGCAGTCACAGGCACTAGCTGCTCTTGCGGAGGACCTAAGGGGCTCAGTTCCAGTCCCCCACGTGGCAGCTCACAACTGCCTGTACCTCCAATGTACAGAACCCTCTGTGGTTACTGCATGCATGTGGTGTACTTACATATGTGTAGGCAAAACACTCATACACATACCACCAAATCTCAAAACCCTACAATTAATACCTACAGAGCCTCTCCAAATTTAACAAGTTTGGAATAAAAACTAGAGGGCAATTTTTCTACTCACCTTCTCCCACCATTGTCACACCTATCGACATGCCTAAGAACTTGCTTTTAGTCCAGACATGTGCATTCACACACATCTTCCGTTCTGCACATTCTGCATAAAATCCTGATACTGGAGGGTGGTGGGAAACCTGCTCAGCAACAAATCTGACAGTGTAAGAGTCTGAGGAGCCCTGGGTCAGGGCCTCGTCCGGCAGAGGAGCGTGGTTTGTGACGACGGGGCTGGAAGAGCTCCCACCCGCGCTGGATGCCACTTCACTCCTGGGCACCCTCCAGGAGCAGTGGAAAGTTTCTCCGATAATGGGATTGTACGGCTTCTTAGCAATGGCTCCCTTTCTGCCTTCGTGAAATGAGGTAAGGTAGTACTCAACAAAGCGAATCATTCGGTCCTCTGGTGTGGCTCCGTTGGTGATGCCTATGAACAGGTCTGGATGAGACATGAAATCCGCATACATCTCCAGTAAGGAACGCTTCTCCAGGATAAACGTAGGAAGCACCACCTAAAGCATCAGTTAAGAGGGAGAATCAATACACATCCACATCTGCAAATAATTATCTCTACCACTAAGAGCATTTCATACAAGACAGGTATGAGGAACAGAAATGTAAACCAAAGGATCTGGTCTTCTAACAACAATAATAAAACAACAACAACAACAACAAAAAAAAACCCAAAACCAAGCCCAAACTTGTTTAAAAGGAGTTGAAAGTGCCTGAATGGTTAAGATTAAATAGAAATTCGAGACAAAAAGACAAGTTAGACAAAGGACTGCCGTGAGAGCAGCATGGACTGATTACTCAGGGGCTGTGCCTGAGCCTCTTCCTCAGGTTCCCAGGCTACATGAACATATAGCACACTGTAGAAAGCTGGAGTATTAGATGAAGCATGCTGGTTCTTCTTTCTTTGTAATTTAAAGCGTTAACTTTATTATTTTTAACTATCTATATTTGTGTGTATTTGTGTAGGGAATGTGCAGGTGAGTGAGTGCAGTTACAGCGAAGGCCAGAAAAGGCATCAGGTTCCCTGAATTACAGATGGTACTGCTCTTGCACAGGAGCAGTGCCTGCTCTTTCCTGCTTGAGGCGTTCCCTCAGTCCCTACCCCCTCTTTAAAAATAATCTTCGGGAAGCTGAGCATGACAGCACATGCCTATAATCTCAGCACGTGGGAGCATGAGGCAGGATTCCTTCAAATGTGAGGCCAGTATGGTTACTTAGTTTTTGCAAACTGGACCTGAGCCAGGATCATTTGGGAAGAGGGAACCTCAAGTAAGAAAATGCCTCTATCTGATTGGCCTGTAGGCAAGTCTGTAGGAGATTTTCTTGAGTAGTGATCGATGTGGGAGGGCTGAGACCATTGTGGGTGGTACTTCCCCTGGGCAAGGGGTCCTGAGCTAGCCACAAGGAGTAGGGCAGTAAGCAGCACTCCTCCATGGTCTCTGCTTCAGTTCCTGTCTCCAGGTTCCTGTCTTCACTTTCGTTTTTGTTTTTTTGGAGACAGGTGTCTCTGTGTAGCCTTGACTGTCCATCCAGAACTCACCTTGTAGACTAGGCTGGCCTTGAACTCACAGCAATCCACCTGCCTCTGCCTCCCTGAGTGCTGAGATTAAAGTCATGCACCACAGTGCCTGGCTTTGTCTTCACTTTTCTGCCTTGATGTCGATTCATGATGGACTGTGAGTTGTAAGCGGAAATAAACCCTTCTTCTTTTTTTTTTTTTTTTTAAGATTTATTTATTATGTATATAATGTTCTGTCTGCATGTATACCTGTATGCCAGGAGAGGGCACCAAACCCTTTCTTCTCCAAGTTGGTTTTGGTCCTTGTTTTCTCACACCCACAGAGAAGCAAACTAAGCCACAGGGCTACCTAGACAGAAACTGTCAAGACCAAACAAAACCAAGAGTGTGGGTACAGATCTCTCCACTGGTCATGGAGACTGGAGGAAGCAGCGTTCCCTTGACAGACAGGGTGTCCTGCGGTGGTGCACTGCAGCACCTGAGCTTGAGCACTGGAAGCCGTGCTGGAAGGAAGGAACTGACGCTTGACTGCAATGCCACACACATCACACAGACACACACAGTTTAAAAAGGAACGCGCCTATTAAGCACAGTAAGCCTAAGTTAAAAAAACAAAAAAAGTGTTTATTTTTCAGTGATGTAAAATGAATGCTAAAGACAAAAACTTTTCTATTTAAAATGCCGTAACAGGTGTGCATGGGAAACAATCATTCATCTCTACATTTACAGCCTTCAATGGACCCCAAATCTCAGATTCCTTGTGAGAAATGGCTAAAAGCCCAGGCTGGCCTTGAGCTCACTCTCCTCCCGCCTATGGTTCAGAACCACACGGGACTGTCTCCTGCCAGCAGTAGGCCTGGTGCCTGACCTGCTGCTACTTACCCTCGTTAGATCCATGCCCAGCTTGAGCTGGGACAGGAGGTGCAGGATAACACTGCGTTGCTCCTCCACGGCCCCCAGGTCATCCTCCTTGTCGTCACAGGTGTCCTCTATCTCATCACCTGCATCAATCTCTTCAGGCTCCTGGATGGGGAAGACAGCGGAGCCCACCATTACAAGTACTTACTGATATCTACTTAGAAAAAACAATTGAGCTTTGGAGACATTCATACTAAGTCTAAACAAATCAGGGGTGAGCAAAGCCCTTCTGGAAATAAAACTTCCATTATGAAGCCAAGAAATACATTTCCTTCGAAGACACTGTAGTGGTCCTGTGATGTACATAATATGTTTTAGAGTTGTCTTTTTTTTTTTAGACATGGTCTTACTGTGTACCCCTGATTAACCCTGCACTTACTTAGCCTGTGGCAATGCTCCTGCCTTAGACTCCTGGGGACTGAGACCACAGGAGTGTGCTAACACGCTCGGCTGCAATATACTTATTTTGCAGAAACAAAATATACTTATTTTTCAGAAAAGCCAAGAATGTCCCCTAAATAAACTCAGCTTTGGCGATGACCTGGGAATCACAACCACATCTACAATTTTAAGTAGTTTTTGTTTGTTTTGGAACAAAGTATCTCACCATATAAGGCAAACTGGCCTTGAACTCAGCCTTCCAAGTCTTGGTAGTAAAGGCATAAGCTACCAAGCTTTGTTAAATTCAGGTTTTAACTTTGTATTAATTAAAAAATTATGAGTGTGTGTGCGTGTGCCAGGAAAAGCCAGAAGCCATGGATTCCCTGAGTCTCGAGTTGTGAGCCACATGAGTGCCAGGAACCACACCCCAGTCCTCTCCAAGAGCAGTATGCTCTCTTAACTGCTTAGCCATCTCTCAAGCTGGAGAGTTGTAAGGATTAAGTATTTATCCTTGCTTAAGCTAAAGGCATAAAGTACAACATGAAGGTGAATGCACACCATGACAAGTCTAACTCTTGCTATTCACTCATTCCTGAGAAAAAGATCCCTAGCTACACATAGACCCTAGATACACGCAAAAACTCCATAGCCTCTTAGGTAGTCACAGTGCCAGCAAAAGTACTCTGTAGTATTTTAATTAATAATACCCTTAGACAACTGAAAACGTATACTTCCACGTCACTAGCTCCTAATGACTGGTCAAACAATTGCGTATTTATTACTTTATTTTACTTTTCTTTTTTAGGGTTTGAGATGAAGGTGGTAGTGAGGCTTCACTCTATAGCCCTGTCTTGCCTTTAATACTTAATAATTTTTGTTTATTTTGAAATAGTGTTCTCAAATGGCCCAGGCTGGTCTTGAACTTTCTGTCTTTGAACGTCTGATCCTCTTGAATTTGCTTCCCACATGATCAAATTATAGGCACATACCCGCTATGGTTCTGTGTGTATGTCTGTGTGTATACATGTGAAGTCCACAGGTTGATGTTAGAGATCTTCCTCTATTGCTTTTAACTTTCCTCTTTTAGACTAGTCTCAGTGACCTGGAGTTCACTGATTAATCCAGGCTAGCTGGTCCATGAGCTCTAGGTATCTGCCCTTCTCTATCTTCCTCTTCCTGTTCCCCGGAGCCACAGGAAAAGTTGCATGCCATTGCACCTGGTTTTCACATGGCTGCTGGGGAATCCAGCCTCAAAGTCTCATACTTGCACAACAGAAACTGCCAAATGACCCACCTCCTGTTCTTTCTTTCTTTCTTTCTTTCTTTCTTTCTTTCTTTCTTTCTTTCTTTCTTTCTTTCTTTCTTTCTTTCTACCTACCTTCCTACCTACCTTCCTACCTACCTACCTACCTACCTACCTACCTACCTACCTACCTACCTACCCATCTTTGCCAGGGTCTTACTCTGTATGTACTAGGGAGGCATAAAAACTCACTTTGTGGTCCAGGCTAACTCTGAACTTGTGCTGAGCCTTCTGCCTTGGCCTTTAGAGTATGGGATTTAAAGCTGGGGCTACCATGCCAGCTTTAAATAGCATGCTACCAGCTTGCTTTGAACAACAAATATACCAAAGTTCAATGGAACTCATCAGCAATTACAATGTTATTTTAGTGGCCGTGTCCTGCCTTTCACAGAACAGCTTGTTAACATCTTTCTGCAAGACAGCTGTATATACAGATGCTCTCTTTTAGACAGGCAATGGTGGCATGACGGTGTCTCACTGTAGCTGAGGTTAGTCTTAAATCCACAGCAATACTTCCTCTACCTCAGGCTCACACAGAGCTGGGAATACAGGTGTAAGCCATCATACGTTAATACTTACCAGGATTTTAAAAGAAGAAATTATTTTGTTTATGTCATTTTTATTTCCCCTGCCACAATTAAATTCTATTAAATAAGATACTCACATGTTTTTGTTCTGTGTAGTTAGACCAAAACCAAACCAAACACACAAAAGCAAGCAAACAAGCGCACACACACACACACACACACTCTGTCCTAACAAAAACCTCTAAGCCCAATCCCGCTCAGATACAAAATCAAGAACTTAAAATTCTCAAAATGTTATTTAATAAAACCCACAATTTAAACACACAACAATCAGGTCATAAGGTAAGACAGTGGGCTTCTAAATCCTTTCTCCTTAATTATTGTGTGTGTGTACGCGTGCCTGTACGCGTGTGGGCAGGCGCACATGCGCAGAAGACAGCTTTCAGGAGTGCTCCTCTTCTCTGGGTTCCAGGTCCCAAACTCAGGGCACAAGGTCCCTGCAGCAAGTGCGTTCACAGCAGTGTGTCTCTCTGGCCAGGGTTCTAAGCATCCTTTTGCTTTATCTTTCTGCTTTTTTCAAAGAATTCTGTAAACTCAATTCTGACAATCAATTATGGTCTGCCTTATTTTCTATATTAAGACTGCACAGACACATTTTGTGTGGGTATACCAGAGAGACTTCTGTTTTTGCGGCCTAGAAGAGAGACACATAAACCTTCTTAGGTCTCTGTTTCAGTGAAGAATCCACCTGTCAGGAAGCAGCTGCTACTTTGGGGCCTAGACCAGCTGCACATAAACATCTGCTTGAACATTCACTCTTAGAACTGGGAGAAGAATGAAGCCTTCTCTACACATGGGCACCAAGTAAAACCACTGTAGGAGATGAAATAATTATGAGACCTCGGAGAAAACCCTTCTGGGTCTTGGTTAAATAATGGCCTTCAACACTGAGAAAGGTAGTGTGACATCTGAGGTTGGAACTTAGACTTCAGATTAATAATGCAAATAGAGCTTTAGAGGATGTGGTGTCACTCAGAGGAGCACATGCTCAGCTATCGGAGACCCTGACACGCTCAATCCCAGCACCAAAAACTAAAGAGTAATGATAACAACAAAACCCAGTTACTTCATGGTTTGAACCTCCTCTGCTGGAAATAATATAAAAGAAAAACAACCAGGTAGGACAACTCTAGGGGAATAGAATTTTTAATATTAAGAAAAAAATTATTTCACTTACTTACTTTGTATGTGTGTATATGTTGTGTGTGTATGTATGTGGGCACCTGTGGGCCATGGTGTACACATAGAAGTCAGAGGATAACATGAAGGTGTCAATTCTCTCCTACCATATCAGTTGAGTCAGTCCCAGGGACTGAACTCAAGCTGGCAGGCTTGGTGGCAAGTTCCTTAACCCACTAAGCCATCTCGCTGGCCCAGTTTTCACCACTTTAAAACAAACAAACAAAAACTCAAATAACTTATTGAAATAGAAAAAAAAATATTTATTTATTTATTTTTCGAGATAGGAACTTGCTATGTAGACCATGCTGACATAGAATTCAAAGATCTGCCTGCCTCTGCCTCCTAAGCGCTGGGACCGAAGGTGTAAACCATCACACCTGGGAAGAGAAATTTTATTAAGAGCTGAACGCTAACTCTAAATCTGGGTGTGAACAGAAGAATTCAGATGCTTTCCCCCCTTTTCTGGACTGTCTCAGGTATCACAGGATGGCCTTGAACTGGTATATTGCTGAGATTGAAAGTGTGCGCCACCACACCTGGCTGGATGTGCTCTTTCTTGTTTAAAAGCTTAAACTAAAAATACACTACCAAACTTCAAAAAATGTTGCAATACGTGAAATCCTCACAAACACAGATGGCTAACAGTGACAGTGGCCAAGGGTGAGTGATTGTCTAGGAACTTGTGCTATCTGGAGATTGCATGGGAAAAAGAAATCACCATTCTACAAGATTCATGCTTGCTTCTTTTTTTGTCTTGATGTCAGCGTTGGGGCAGTAAGAAACTACAGAATTAATTAATTTTTTAAAAATTATTTCTAGGGGCTGGAGAGATAGCTCATAGGTTAAGAGCAACGGCTGCTCTTTCCGAGGTCCTGAGTTCAATTCCCAGCAACCACGTGGTGGCTTATAACCATTTGTAATAAAATCTGGTGCCCTCTTCTGGTATGCAGATGCACATGCAAACAGAATACTGTATAAAAATAAATAACTCTCTTAAAAACCTCCCAGATCCTGTGCCCATCCCTTATAAAAGTCTTATTTTGCTTCCAACATGCTCTGCATTCTCATTTGAAATTACGTGCTGGGCTATCTTACCTTCCAGTTTATGGTCTTTCACTAATACATCTCCTCTCTGGTCTGGCCCTCTCTCCAAAGCTATGGTTCCATCACCGTGAGTGCGCTTCAGCAACATTACTGCACATCCCTCTCCTGTAACATTCAACATGCTCACAATTACACTAAACCTTCCTCAGAAGGTGCCTTCTGATTTTCATGGCTTTTGCACTAGCAACAGAATTCTATCTTGTTATTTTGGCTCAAAAGTCTCCAATCTGTCATAGGCTGACTTCTGTTATTTGAAATGTGCGTTGCTGATTCACCTGCTGTCATTTCTACTTCCACAGTCTTCCAAGTTCTATCATATTTCAATCTTGCATATATCCCTCCCCAGGCACATGACCCCACTGTCTCTCATATTAAGACTAAGTACCGCCTGTCTCCTGGGAGCACGGGTCACACTGTATTCTATGGAGCACTGCTGCAGGAAGTGCCACTTTACACTGAGGACAAGACTGTAGTACAGAACAACACTGTGTTGTAGGAAAATAAAATGCTGTTGGGCTATATAAAGTTTATTATTAGGCCTATGATTATCACGGTGATAGTATTTAACCTGCTATCATAAATAATAATACACAGACACCTGTTGATTTTTGTAATTGCCTTGTTTACCTGGGACTGGGCAGACATTTCACTTACACTGTTTCAACAACCTCACCATCCATTTCTACCTCCCAGCCCCCATCCAATGCCATGTGCAAAAATCATCCTCATCTGGTCTACCTTTCATCCACAATCCCATGGTACTTGCTTGTATTCTTCATTTGGGCCTTTTCATACCATTATTGGAATCCTTTCTCCCAACCTACGTGTTTTTTTTTTCTCCACACTAACCCATCCTCACTTTCAGTTGGTCTGTCTCCCATGAAGCCATGCCTGCCCCATTTTGCCCTGACCAAGTATAGGCTGTTTAATCAATCAATCAATCAATCAGATAAACCTGTCTTAGGTAGGTTTATAAAACAAAGATAGGTGTAACCAGATCTTAAGAGCCAACAACATACATCAGACCAAACTCCAACAACCCTGTGACTGGTTCCCTTAAGCAAGACACACTCTGCTAAGATAACTTTATTCTCATCACAGTCTCTCAGAGCAGTATTACCACTACTTTACCAGTGAGGAAGCTGAAGCTTTTTTTTTTTTTTCTTTTGAGAAAAGGTCCCATAATATAGTTATGAACAGCCGGGACCTCAGGCTGGCCTTGAACTCACAGAGATCCACATGCCTCTGCCTACCAAATGTTGGAATCAAAGGTGTACAACACTATGCCCAACCTTTGGCTCACATTATTAAACAGAAAATTCCAAGTTCAAAATTGTCAGGCAATAAACACACACACACACACTCACAGCTTACTAGAGTAGACCACCCAGGTTATTCTTCCATTCTGAAATCCACTTATTCCACCTACTTTTCAAACCCTGCCTCCATTCAAAGCCCAACTTTAAAAGCTTTGTCTCCAAAGCTTCCCTCTTCTACATCACTCAATATCCCTTTTCCTTCTCTTAAGGGCCAAATCACAAGAGTGCAGGTCCTATCAATTAATGAAAAGTATTTTGCATTCCCACCTGCTTGTTTTACTGTACAGACGTCGTGGCTGCAAGCACACGCTACGCCTCTTCAATGAAAGAACTGCGCCTTCTTGTTTGTGCTTGTCCTCTAAGCCCAGACAGCTTGGTATCTACTAGTGTGTGTGCACGTGCGTGTGCGTGCATGTGGCTGTTGCATGTTATTTTCTTACTTAGCCTGCTTTCCTGGACTTCCCTGCTTTTCATCTCCCTGGCTTCAGTGTTCCTTCATAAATTCAACGTCTTTGCCAGGATTGTCTTATTTTTTAACAAATAACTTGCTGGGTTTGGAGGCGAAGGCTGGGCTCACAGCAGACAGGGTCAAGCCAGTGTGCTAGTGCTCCTTGGAACTGACACCTCTTAAAATGGCAGATGATTTGGACAGGAGATGCAGGAGCCTCAGCCGCCTTTCCAATGCAGTGCTCAGCATTACGTAAGAATGGTTTTGATGTGTTCAAAGGCAGGCCATGTAAGATCGTCAAGATGTCTACTTCGAACACTGGCAAGCATGGCCATAACAAGGTCATATGTTGGTATTGACATTTTTACTGGGAAGAAATATGAAGCTATCTGCCTGTCAACTCATAAAGTGGATGTCCCCAATATCAGAAGGAATGACCTCCAGCTGACTGGCATCCTGGATGGGTACCTATCCCTGTTCCAGGACAGAGGGGAGGAACGAGAGGACCTTCGTCAGCCTGAGGGAGACCTTGGCAAGGAGACTGCGCAGAAGTATGACTGTGGAGAACAGATCCCGATTATGGTGCAGTCTGCCCCTGACAAAGAAGGCAGCTGTTGCAATCAAGGCCATGGCAAAATACCTGGCTCCTAGGGTGGCGGTGGTAGTGGCAGTGATCCTTGAGCATACAGAGGCCCCTCCCCCAGCCAGGTTCTGCTCTGGCTAAGCCCAAGGCTGGACTCCTATACAATTTATTTGATGGTTTATTTTGGTTTTCCTCACTCCTTCAAACTGTTGGGGAGACCTTGCCCTTCACTTAGCTCCCTTGGCCAGGAATGAGGGAGCCAGAGCCTTGGTGAGGCTACCCACCTCCTCCCTTGCCACCCTGGTGGTGGAAACGGAGTTGGGTGCTGCTGTGGTTTAGGTTCCCCCTTCCCTTTTCTTCTGAACTCAATTTGGAATCAGAAAGCTGTGGATTCTGGCAAGTGGTCTTGTGTCCTTCACCCCTAAGCACCACTTGTAGAGCCTGGGAAACCAGTCCGCTTCCCTGCCTGTGTCTCTTCCCAAACCCCTTGAGGGGTGATGAGAAGGGGGAGGGGCATGATCCCTCCTCAGGCATCTGGGAGGGTCCTGTCCCCATGAGCTTTACCCTTTCCTTCGGGCTCTCTCCCTGACACATTTGTTCAAAACTCAAACCTGAAAAAAACTACAAGTTTAAAAAAAAAAAAAAAAGTAACTTGCTAGTGTATTGATAACCATAAAGCCTCATTATTCTTGACTCAGTAATTTTATCAGGGATATAAAAATGTAAAAAATAAAAATAAAAAAGCACAGAAGGAAAAAATAGTTAACAACAGTGTTATTTCTAAGAAAGATGAACGAGTTATTTAACAACAGGGACATTAACTTAGTATCTTATTTTGACTTTCAAACATTAATTACATAGGCCAGAACACAAGACAGAAAACAAAAAACTTCAATTATCTATCCAATTATGATAGCCATAAAAACAGCAGACATGAACAAAGGGCAAAGCAAACAGAACAAAAACAACTTAATTTGTAACAACAGTACTTATGCAGCAGAAAACAACACTGTAGCTCCTGGAAACAGAATGAGCACCACTTTCTGTAACTACTGAAGCTCAGATCAACGGCTAAGAGTAACATCTGTAACAAATGTATTGGAACCGGCTTACTATAGTAAACAAAGCTTACAGTCTCAATAAAATTTTAAGCTTGTAAATGTGATAGCAGTGATTAATAAACAAAAGGAACTGGACAATGGGTGGTGGTGGTCGCATATTCCTTTAATCCTGGCCTTCAGGAGACAGAGGTGGGCAAATCTCTGAGTTAGAGACCAGCCTCCTCTAGTCCAGGCCAGCTACAGAGAGAAACGCAGTCTTGAAAAGCAAAACAAACAAACAATAACATACAAGCCCAGTGTAGTGAGCAGCTGGGTGTGGGTGCCTGTGAGTCCAGGCAGAAAGAGGGATTGTTGATAGTTTAAGGCCAACTAGGGCTACATATATATATATAAAGTTCTAGGCCAGCCAGGGATAGAGTGAGACCCTCTCTCTCAAAAAAAAAAAAAAAAAAAATCAAACAAACAAATATCTGTATCAGGCAAAAGTAAACTCAAACTAAAAAGGGGACATCATTCTACCTGGAAAATCCATGTTCAAGTTCAATTTAGAACAACACTTAGAAGCTGCAAGAATGTTACTTTAGTGTTCTGTTGACAAGAAATAACAAAAACAACACTGCTCCTTTCTTCCATCGAAAGCAAGTTTTCATATTTCCTTACCCTTGCTAATACTCCAGATTCTGCAACAGACTGTGCTTCCGGGACTGCTGTGGGCTTGCTCGGCTCAGTTGCATAGGGTTGCTCAGCTCCATTTTTATAGTGGTTTGATAAAGGTATCTTTGGCTCCAACCACTCAATTGTCGTTCCTGATGAAGTAAGAGAAAAATTTTGCTGAGACTCGCTCATAATCTGGGAAGTGCAGCAGATCTGGGTTTTATTAGACAATTTTGTTTTGACCCTCCAAGACTAAAGCAGTTTAACCTGCACTAAAAGGAGACAGCTATTCAACCTCATTAGCATGAGCACCATGATTGGGTATTTCACAACAGGAAACTTGCAACTTGAAATGAGATACTATGTAAAAGGAATCAACCCTGAATAGGGCTGATCTTGCTCCTTAGACAAGGCCGTGAATCAAGTGAGCTCTCACACGCTGGAATAGTCATTGGTATCGATTATGTCCCTCTCATAATCAAATGTATATAATTAGACTTTAGTGGAGAGCTACTCCAGAAACCTTAGTTGGTAATACAGTATAATTTGTTTAAATTAGGGATTACAATTTTCCTAACCAATCAAAATAACTCACTGGCTCTAATTTAAAAACCACATATATATCCTTTATTTAAATCATGAACAGCTCAATATAACTTTTAAACTGACAAACTTTTCTACTGAATAAATAGAGCTGACCTAGTGAAAACCAGTAGTCACATTTAGAGACCTGTCATCTTCTCAGTTAATGAGTCGATGGTCTCTTGTTACCCTCAACTAGTTTAACCAAGTAGATTCTATGCCTAATCAATAATGGAAATGTTCCATTTGATTTCAGATGCTGATCTGGGTTTCACAGAAGCTAGGTTATGGAGAACAAGAATAAGGGATACTCAGACTACGACAACAGAAACTGAGACCAGGAGGACATTTACTCAGTCGAATGCCAGACTTCGCAAGAGAAGTAAACGACAAGTAAATTGCCCACCAGGGTATGCTGCTTTGCCTTCTTCAGTGGCACGTGGCACTGGGAGGCATGAAGACTGAAGGGATCCTGGCTAAGGTCAGGGGCCTGTTGTAAAGTTGTACAGAAATGAAAACACTCTTCCTCTCACTTAAATATCTTTTACTATTATCACTATCCAGATTTTTTTTTTTTTTTCTAAAAATAAGACCTGTGAACATAAATTAAAAGGCCCATTTTAGGAGGCTACTGAGCTAACTAGTATAATAAGACTTTATCAAAGCAATCATCTGACCTCAATGTCCCTCCAAATCAACACACAGACAACTGAGTCTTCAGGTAACATCTATTTAGACCCTATGTCCAGGCACAGTACAGGCACACACTTGTCATCCTAGTACTTAGGAAGCTGGAGCAGGAGTAGCTGAGGCTAGCCTGGGACACATTGTGAATTTATGGTCAGTCCAGGCTAAATAGTGATACCTTACCCATGAATGAACGAAACAAAAATATGACTTTATGGAGTTAAACATTCTTATGAACAAAGGCTTCATTTTTTTTTGTGTGTGTGTCACTGAAGAATTTGAATTGAAAGGTAACAGTTTTCCTAAGTTATACTTTCATTCTGAAGTGACTTAAAAATAAATTTCTACATGCCCAATATGGAAAAGATGGCAACCGTAGTGAGAAACAGCAATGGCAATTAGTAATTTCCTCAAACTACCTACAAACCTATGCTCCAAAATGTCTGATATGAGAACAAAGTTCACTTTAAAACTTCAAAACTTTTGTAATTAATTCAAATTTACTCACACATCTTTCCTCAGTCATGAAGAAACATCAACAAATAAGAATTTATAAGTTTAGCTGGGTGCAGTGGTGCACACCTGTAATCCCAGCACTCTGGGAGGCTGAGGCAGGTGGAGATCTATGAGTCGAGGCCAGCCTGGTCTACAAAGTGAGTCCAGGACAGCCAGGGCTACACAGAGAAACCCTGTCCCAAAACAAAACAAAAACAAAACAAAAAAACCCAAAACTCTTATTAGTTTAGGCAATACCAGTTTCACAATTGTTTTAAAAATGATAAACATTATTTAATCAAGTTTTATTTAGCATTTAATCTAGTAACCATCACCAGTGCTACCTGATTAAGAGTTTTAACAATTAATAGTACAGACTAGAAATAAGTTGTTTCATTTTCCTAGCAAATTCATTAACTAAAATTAACCCATATTTTTTTTTTGTCAGGGTTACTCATGTAATGTTCAAATTAGGGAAATAACTTGAGTAAACCAAAGTGCTCACTTAAGGATGAAATACAACCAGTAAAGAGAATGTAACTCGGAAAATATTCCTGATATTTGATGAAAAGCATATGATACGATATGACACAATATAATACTAAAGAGTAAATGAGCAGTAGACAAAGCTGAAAATCAGGACACATTGCCAAAGATTCTACCCTGAATACCTGAACACACAAATAAAGAAGGATGTCACTAAGTTTAACAGAAGGTGAGTTGTAAACTGGGTGGTGGTGGCACACACCTGTAATCCCAGCACTCTGGGAGGCAGAGGCAGGAGGATCTCTGTGAGTTGGTAGCCAGCCTGGTCTGCAGAGCAAGTCCAGGACAGCCAGAGCTGTTACACAGAGAAACACTGTCTTGAAACACACACACACACACACACACACACACACACACACTTGAGTTGTAGATTTACCTTTGGATACGTTGAATTTGAGGTCTCTAAAAGTATATTCAATTATGTTAAACATTACAGCTAAAATTATTCTGAATTCCAAAAACGGGATACAATCAGGAAGTTTGTATCACACTATGTGCTAAATAAAAACCAAGCATTAGCCGTGAGAACAAATACACCCCTTTCAATGTTTGAAGGGCAGTGTTAAGCCTCCCTGTAATCTCTGACTTACCTGAGGGCAATGCACTCTTCTGGTGTGATGCATGCTGCAGCTGGAGAATGTGAAAGCAGTCATTTAAGCAGTTCATAGTTGCCATGGAAGTAGCTTTGAGCATCAAGAGGTCCTGGTCCAAGGAACTAAGAAGGCCAGAAGCAGGAAGGCATTCAATCCGTTTAATTAGGTCTCTTTGTTGTCCTTCAGCATGAGACATCATCTGAGGAAAGCAAAAGTCCTGTGGGTCTCGCTCAAACACAAGACATGTAATATTTCCTGGTCATTTAAATAATAGTATTCATTCTCTGAAGCATTTTCAGGGTAGATCAGGCTTTGAATTTTACTTGAAGTTTGCTAGGCTATTTTCTTGCTTTAAAACAATTATTTTATGTGTATGGGTAATTTTGTCTGCATGCATACACATGTACCACTCACATGCAGTGGCCCCAGAGGCCAGAAGAGGACATCAAATCCCATAGGACTGGACCTACAGAGAGTTGTGTGCCCCCAGGTGGGTGCTGAAGAATGAACGCAGGTCCTCTGGAAGAGCAGCCAGTGCTCTTAGCCAGGCCTAGGCTATTTTCAATTAAAGGGCACTTAATGGTGCCTACCAACTGAAACTTGTGACCTTTGTCAGCTGTACTTTTTCTCTGGAAGCTATAAAGCACAAAATGCTTGCCACTTTCTGCTAACAGTATTAATTTATCCAAGCGACAGAAAGAACCAGTGTTGAGTTTTGAATTTCACAGTTAAAAATTAAGACATTCTTTGATTAGGAGCCTTATCTACAACCACTTCCACCACCACTACTACTACCCTTCTCCCCACTTGACATGAATCTGTGTAGCCCTGGCTGTCCTGGACTCACTTTGTAGACCAGGTTGGCCTTGAACTCACAGAGATTCACCTGCCTCTGCTTCCTGAGTGCTGGGCTCAGGCACGAGCCACTGCGCCAGCCAGTGGTGTATCCACTTCTAACAAGGCCAATGGAATAAGAAGGAACAACTTAGTATTTGTAGAGAAGAACAATTTATGATACTTTCAAGTGTAAGCAAAGGTTCTAAGATTGCTTATTCCTGAAAACTACCTTAATTCACACAGAAACTCTGTAATGGAAACCTCTGAACATTTAGAGGCTTGGTTCTAGGTCACACACACACACACACACACACACACACGAGGTCCTAGCATATCTTTGTTCTTTGGCTTGGCTACCAGCCAGCAGGTTCCAGAGAGCCTTCTGTCCCTGCTTCCCAGCGTTAGGGCTGCAGGCACAACAAGCTGCCTTTTCACGTGGGTGGGACTCATCTAAGCGCAGGTCCCCATGATGTGTGGCAAGTTCTTTTAACCCCTGAGCCAGCTCCCCAGCCCCCGTTCCCTATCGTTATGCATACAGTTTTTTGGGTTGTTAGCGAAAGTGGGATGCGAAGTGGACTTCTGAAGCCAGTCCAGTCCACCATGTGAAGCAGTTCCTAAAACCACGAGCCACAGGTGAGCTTTAAGCATTTAACTTTCCCATTAAAGAAAAAAAAAAAAAAAAAGGCTTTAGATGAGATGCCTGAACGTAAAGATACCTATAGAAGCACACCTAAACACGTGAGTGTACAGGTGCTCTGTATGTGTACAATTTTTTATGAATTTATTGAAATAGGGTCTCCCTTTGTAGTAGAGGATTACCTGGAACTTACTATGTAACCCAGATTGCCCCCAAACTTGTGGCAGTTAGGGCTAGGGAGAGACGGCTCAGCAGGTAAAGCTATTTGCCAGTAAGCCTGACAATCTGAGTTTGCTCCTCAGAACACACATGAAGGTAGAAGCCAAGAATCTACTCATGAAGTTGTCCTCTGACCTCTGCATGTGCACAGGGACAAATGCACACCCACATACATATATAGTAAATACATTGTTCAAACAAACCAAAGAACCCAAAACTCAGGCTGGAGAGATGGCTCTGCTGTGAAGGGCACTTGCACTTTCAAAACCCTGGGCTTAATTCCCAGAACACCACAGCTACATAGAACTCCCTGGGACCCAACACCTCTTCTGGCCTCCTCTGGCATTGCAAGAATATATATACACACAGAGAAGCAGGTACTCACATACCTAAGAATAGAAAAATTAAAATTGTGAGCTGAGCAGTGGTGGCGCACACCTTTAGTCCCAGCCCTCGGAATTAGGTGGATCTCTGTTTGAGGCCAGTCTGGTCTACCAAGTGAGTTCACAGAGAAATCCTGTCTCAAAAAACAAAAACAAAAAAATTAAAATGTTATTAAAAAGAGAAGACGTGACAATTCTCCTGTCTAAGATTCCTAAGTGCCAAGATTACAGACATGAGCCACCATGCCCATGTTTTTATGTTTCTTATATAAATTTGGGGACTAATAAGGCTAAGTAGCAGAAAGTTTGCCTAGCGTAAGGGAAGCCCTTTGTGCAATTCCTAGCACTATAACACATACATATACACATACATACATATGTATGTATGGCCTTGAACTCACAGAGATCCACATGCTTCTGCCTCCCAAGTGCTGGGATTTAAGGTGTGTGCCACCACTGCGCTAAGCTTCAATTCTTTATCCCCAAACACACCACACTATAACTTGATGAGGGGCTCACTCTCCTCAGCCCTCTGTTTTAAAACATTTGAAGCATTTATAGTACATCCTGTTGTTTTTTTAAGATGAGTCTTTAGTAGGCCATATGTCCTTCTTACTAGGTTTAATTACAATTGTTTTCTGAGACAGGATCTCACACTGTAGCCCATACTGGCAATTCTCCTACCTTGGCATTCCAAGGCATAGTCCACCATGCCCAGATTAATGACTCTTTTATCACAAATAAACAACAAAGGAACCTGTAGTTTTACTTGAACACAAAAAGACAGATACAGATTTAAAAAAAAAAAAATCAAAATGATATAGATTCTTGAAAAAAATGACAGTATCCCAGCACATAGTTGTAAGACATGAAGAATTTAGAGTATCTATCAATCATATTATCGTTATCACTTATCCTAGCAGAACGGGTGGGAAACACTGAAGGGCCTAAAGGACACAAAGAGAACTTAGAGCACTGAGAGACCCAGGCACACTGCTGCTCTGTGTACCTGGCCTTCAAGGCATACTTACTTCTCTGACTTCCATAAGATGGTCTGGATGCAAGTGAGCTCTTTTGTTCACTGACTGCAGTTTGGAATGTCCGACATTAAAAAAAGAAATGGCACTCTGACTTGGTCTCCTCTGGGATATGGGAGAATTGCCACTAGACGCAAGTGAGAAGCTCCGGGACTTCAAAGGAGGGTTATTCTGTCAGAAAAAGAAAACAGTATCTCTTGTGCTTTTTAAAATTTTGGCTCTTGAGAGCAACAGAATCAAAAAATCTGGGCACAGGGGTCTTTTCTGAGACTGATACTCCAACCAAGGACCATTCATGGAGATAACCTAGAAGCCCTGTACAGATGTAGCCCATGGCAGTTCAGTGTCCAAGTGGGTTCCACAGTAATGGGAAGAGGGACTGTCTCTGACATGAACTCAGGGGCTGGCTCTTTGATCACCTCCCCCTGAGGGGGAGCAGCCTTACCAGGCCACAGAGGAGGACAATGCAGCCATTCCTGATAAGACCTGATAGACTATGATCAAAAGGAAGGGGGAGGACCTCCCTTATCAGTGGACTTGGGGAAGGACACCCATGGAGAAGGGGAGTGAGGGAGGGATTGGGAGGGGTGGAGGGAGGGAGTTACAGGGGGGATACAAAGTGAATAAAGTATAATTAATAAAAATTTAAAAAATTTTTTGGCTCTCTTGCCATCAAACTAGCATATATTTCAGCTTTATACATGGATAATTTTGAGACTATATTAACATCAGATTTGACATAGGGAAATTTCTGAAGATTAATTTTATGCTATTAAAAAATAAAGAAAATTTGAAATTTCCAGTTTGTCATTCTCAAAGAATTTTTATATTTTTTTTTGAAAGTCTACTAGAAGAATAATATGTTTCTGATTTGCTATTCTAAACACTGGAACACAAAGACAACATAATACGGGTAATATATGCATTCTGTATGCAATAAGATAGCACATTCCTAAAGACAAATCCAGGTGTCCTTTGGAACAATCTGGTGCTTTCTGATCACTGTCACTGACTAGCAGCTTGCACCATGAGTAGATTATACTGTATTTCCCAGAGACTAGACATCAGACCTAATACGATGTTTTGTTTGTATTATTTTGAGAAAGGGTCTTACAATATAAATTCAGCCCAGGCTAGCATCAAAATTAACAATCTTGCCTTAACCTCCAAAATGTTATTATTACAGCTTCCAACATGCCCAGACCTAAATCAAAATTTTAAAAAATTAGTGGGAAGAATGCTAGGAAAGAAAAACAGAAAATAAAAATATGAAAAAACTGTTAGCCTCAGATACAGAATTCTTTAAATGAGCTACTCATGGACCACTTTTCAGACATCCCCAGATTTCAACAATTCAGACCCTCCTTTTCACCTTAAAACAAAACTAAACCAAAAACACTCTAAAGAGCTAAGCATCATAAACAAAGAAACAAAACACTTCCGAAAAAAATAGATGTAAATTACTAGGCCAGTGAGACTCCGTGACTAAAAGCATTTGCTGCGAAGCCTGACACCCTGAGTTCAGTCCCTGGAGCCACACTGACAGCGGGAGCCGACCCCTCAAAGTGTCCTCTGGGCCCCACGCACAGCGTGGGTGGGGTGCATGTGCACACACCCGAGAATGACTGAGACTCTTTTTAAAAGGATTCATAAACTATTAACCAAGAAGCACATGAAAAGGTACTCAGTATGAGCAGTCATTTGAGAAATACAATGAAAATCAGGAGTCCACTAGAAAATACAGAAAAATTAGGGCCCAGGGAAATGGCTCAGTTCTAAAGTGCTTGTAGTATAAGCATGAAGGCTCGAGTTCAGATCACCAGTGCCCACACAAACAGCTGGGCATGATGCTGAATGCCTGTAACACCAGCACTTGGGAGATAAGAGACAGGTGGGTCCTGAGAGCTCAGCGCCTGCCAGATAAGTCAAAGAACTGAGCTTCAGCCTCAGCTCAACAGCCTGTCTCGATAAAGCAGGGGGTGACTGAGCATGACACTCAGGGTTGAGCTATAGTCTCCACATGCGCACGCACACATGCG